GCTTGCGGAGCCGATTTAGAGACCGGAGTCGTTTTGGGCTTGGTTTTCGGGGAAGCTCGGGCCTGCTTATGGGGACGGGAGGATCCGGTGCTAGGAGCGGGAGATGCACTACGCGGGCGTTTCGCAGCCGACGAATCCGCCCCACTTACAGTCGGAAGAGGAGCAGAGACGCTAGCAGCCTGAGAGGGCCCCGACAAAGGGGGAAGTGGATCCGAAACGGCAGCTGTCACCAGCGCCAGTCGTCGACGTGCCAGATCCCGCTCCGACAAGCCACGATCGCGCTCCAGGATCAGCTGTTGCTGCTGAGTTTGGGCTGCGGAGAGTTGATCCTGGAGTTTCGCGGCGGTCGCATCTGCTTCCTTCAATTTGTCACCTAGATTGACAATAACAAGTGAATATGGAGTTACTAGCAAAGGCTAAAAGAGGATCCACGTACTCGTGCGGCGAAGCTTGGATTCCAGCTCCGTTTGCGTACGATTGGCATCCGCCCACTCGGTAGCCGCCTTGTCCCGCTGAAGTTCGCTGTCCGCCTGTTTCGCTCGGATCTCGTCGCGCAATCGAGTCATACGCACGAATTCTTCAAGCGCGTAATCTCGTCCGGCAGACGCCCTCTCGAGCGACTCCTTGGTGTCTTGCAACTCCTCAGAGAGTTGAGCCAGGGCTACATCCGGCGATGAGGGAGGTGGATTTGGCGCGGAGGACCCTCCACGCGCCGACCCTAAGGCGGATCCGCCATGGGTAGATCCCACATAGTCGTTGGTCACCACCTCCTCCTGGGTCAGACGCAACTCGTCACGGAGACGGTCCAAGCTCACATCCGCAGCTGCCCTAGCAGTCTGGGAATCCTCCAGATCCCGCTCGAGGTCGTGGATCCGGGATTGGAGTTGGTGGATCTCAGATCCGGCGAGTGCCATCTCCCTAAGGAGATGGTCGTTGTCATCTCGCATAACGTCTCGTTGACGGGAGGCGCGATCCAGCCGTCCGGTCAGGTCGCGGATCTCGACCGCCTGATCAGCCAACAGGAGTCGCAGGTCCTTCGACCGAGAGGCCGCACGGTGCTCCTATCCCTGGATTTCCATAGCCTGGTCATGGACTTGGGCCCGCAAGATCTGAAGTTGGGTAGCGTGTAGGGACGCAGCTTGGTCTTGGGCATCTTGAGCCGTCTGGAGCTCCGCCGTCAGGGTTTGCACCTGATCGGAAAGAGCCTGGGCTAGAACCCGCAGATCGGTGGGACATAGGGAAGACGGACTGACCGGAGGGGTAGTGGATGGGGCCTTGCCCGACGATTTGCCGGTACGCTTGGCGGGAGACATGTGTCGCGAAGGGGAGAAAGCGGTTGTGGATGCTAGTAATGCACGCCGTGAACGCTGTTGTGCAGCGCCGACAACGTACAGGAGGCGATTGTGGTGAAGTGCTTTTTCAGAAATAAGAGAATGGGCCTGACGCGGGGTCACTATCCCGAATCAGTGACAATTTCATGTGATTAGAGAGGATTTGGGCTGGCTGGCACAGATGCAAGTTGCCTGTAGTGGATTAGCCATGGCGAGCAGCACCCCATATGGAATGACGATGGATCTGATATGAGCGATGTACGAGAAGGCAAGATCCACCAAGACTTACCTCGGATCCACCCTTACCTGGATTCACTAAGATGGATATGGGATATACTATACAAGAGTGGATCGAGTGTGGATCCTATGAAGGAAGGATGGTCGGTGCCCTCTGAAGGTGGATCTAGTAGCCACGGCTAATGAAGAGTCAAGATCCACCGCGAGGTACCCCGGATCCCATACTTCCGAGTTCGGATCCAAGGAAGGAGGATCCCGCCTGGAGGGACCTGGATCCAGGGTATAGGGATGATGGATACAGTGGATCTCGAACTTTCGTGGGACAATGGAGATCACAGACGGTCGCGAGATGATGTTGGATGATGGGAGAGCTCAGATCGACGACGAGTGCAAACTTACAGTGAAGTGGATCCACGCGACCTGGATCCGGATGAGTGTACCCATAATAGGGTGACCATGATGATTACGTCATGGATCCGGTGGATCTGAAGATAATACAGCTGGGATGATGGGTCAAGGGAAGAAGGGACATGCAGCCGAGCCTGGTAAGGGATTTAGCAGATGAAAGACATAGAAGGTAGAAATCCAGGCAGGTATAGGCTTAAATATCAATACAGACTTCAATTTGCACAGTGACACGCAAGTGCCTTCCTGCCCTCAAGAACCGGAACTACATTGGCCGTACGAGCTCCGAGAAGGCTCACACACTCACAGCGCCGGTTGAGGCATCTCCCTGTCCGGACAAACGTCGATCTCGGCCCGTGGGCTCGTCGGTGAGCGGTTTGGACAGTGCAGTCCGCGTCCGTACGACAGAAGGCCTTGCCGCGCACCTCCACAAGTTTATTCTCTTCATCTTCGTACTCGTCGAGGTGGTCCAGGATCCACCGACGCGTCGGGTGTGTCGATGGATCGCAGCCTACACTCATGAGTGAGCCAGGGGACAGATCTTGGTACACGCGAATGTAGTCGAGCTTCAGGTACATGGGGAAGGCGTCGCAAATGGCGTTCGCGACGGGGTCCAGTCCGTCGCCACGACAGACATTCTTGGGGTTGGGTGGCTGCGCTCCCCACTTACTCGACATGGCTACATTGAAGATGAGATACATGGGCTCCTCGATCATGATCTTGCTCGGGTTCTTGACGCTCGCTCCTTGCCGAGGCTCCGTGATCGTCTTGGCTGGAATCTCGTACAGTGGCTCACCTGACAGCATCCAACGGACGGAGGCGTGTGGACCCCGACACCCACTCGAGTTGGTACTGCACCCAGTCGGTGTATGCTTGCCATGGGCACCGGCCAGGTCGCAGAAAAGGGGTCCATTTTGCAAGGCGAAACTCAAGTCCTCTTTGTAGAAGCGATGGCTCGACATAAACTAAAATTTTATCTCGGGTCCGGAGTTTCCCGCGCACTAGAATAGATCTCGCCCCAAGAACAAGCTCAATGAGCGGAGAAGCCCGAGACCTCTCCACTCAACACGCAGGGGGTGGGAAGCTTGGAGCTGGGGAAAATATTTATATCTCTCTT